AGACAGACGATAAGAAAACATATTTTCTTGGACGTGGATAGAATTCTCGCTCGAATCTTTTTCAAAATTTTAAAAGCTCTTTTTAACTTAATTTTCGAAGTACGTCGTACTAAAAATCATGGACACATAGACAATCGATCATGCTTATTCCGAATATCGTATTCCCCCGGACTCAAATCGCACTTCAAAATTTTGAAGTGTGCGATGATCTGAGCGATAAAGACGGCAAAAAATGACCATGCAATAATTATATAACATGAAGTATTAAAGCATATACATTGTGTTCATAATTAAATTAACGAAACTACGTGAACGTACTCATTGTATATAATGTCCATTAGGTAAAACTGTTCGTTTTATAACTTTAAAAATTTGTACTTGAAACGGCGTAGAAAACTATTCAACATTTTATCTAATCTTAAAATAAGAAACAAAACGATAATAACTGAAGATTTTTTTGCCATTACTAAAGTTTTTGATTTAAAACAACACAAGATGTTACAAGACATCTTATTTTTGTTGAAAATGACTAATGTCAATAAAGTGGGGGCGCCGCTCTCCTAGGAACTGGCACTGGTTGTACTTGAACCGGCTGAGTTTTGGGTTGAACATGTGAATATTGCGGTCGAAGATTTTGTTGCTGCTAAAAAGAAAGGAAAAAATATATAGAGCGCTAAAAAGCAACTAATATAACATAGAGAAAACATACTTGTTGAGGAGCAGGCATACGTGGCGCATGTTGCTGAGGATTTCGCGGTAGATTCTGTTGCTGAGAAATTCGTGGTGGACTCTGTTGTTGAGGAATTCGTGGTAGATTCTGTTGTTGAGGAATTCGTGGTAGATTCTGTTGTTGAAGAATTCGTGGTAGATTCTGTTGTTGAGGAATTCGTGGTAGATTCTGTTGCTGTACTCTTCTTATCATTTCATGATCATACTCAATCGAAGATATATCGTTAGTGGCCGATGACATTTGTGGCTGCTTGTGGGCTATTTTTTGTACTCCCGTCTGCTGAAATCGCTGATTAGGAGAAAATTGTGGCTGCGAAACTTGTTGTTGTGGAAGAAATGGAGAATGACTTCTGGGTATTGTTAATGGCGAACGATGTTGTGGAGATATCGCACGTTGCTTAAACGGTTGAGTTTGAGATGATAATTGATTTGTTTGACGAATTGATGCTGTTTGCTGCTGCATCATTTGTTGAGAAAGACCTGGTGGCAATTGTTCGATGACAATTGGTTCAGGGTATTTTTGTGAGACTTCTGATGATAAGTGTGGTACTGGGTAAGCGGGAACAGGGGAAGGTGTATAAGAAATATTAAACCGTCTACCACGCAAATCAGGCATTTGGCTAGAATAAGAAAATATAACTTAAGAAATTAAAGTATAATAAAAGAATTCGTAAGTTATATTAGAATCAAGATGATTTTCGGTTAGACACATCACATTCTCGCAAGAAACCAAAATGTTAAAAATCTGTTTAGAAAATTTCTAAGGTTATTAGAAAGATCTGTATACGTACTTCAACATATTGAATATACTTTCTGTACTAAGTTCAGGAGTATCTTGAGCTGGTGCAGGTGAAAACATTTCTGGCACTTGAGGGACAGTATGCGGTCGATCTGGTATAAATGGTCGGTCAGATTGCATTGCTCGCACAGGCGTTAAGGATCGCACAGTGATACGATTTATGTTGGCAGCGTCATCAGTAGATGACATATTTTTCGACTCAAAAATACTTGGTTTTGTGGTATTATTGTTCATTTGTCCTAGAACGAATAAGAGAATTTTTTAATTATTAGTCATGGTTATTGAAAGAGTGATTACTGTCATGTTAGATCAAACATAGCTTTAAATGAAAAAGAAAATTGTTTTATTTATTTTTCTAGAGCATAGCGTACCTGGAATAGTTTTAAATGTATTTGGTGGCATAAAATAAGACGTTGTTGAGTAGGCTTGTCGTTGAGCTCTGATTGGTTGAAAACGTTGATACTGGTATTGTGGTTGGTGTTGTATGGCGAGTAAATTATTCACCGGTCTTATATTTTGTTGTGGACGGTAATTGTTCGGTAATGATTGAATGGCAATACTGAGAGATGCTGGTTTTTGTGGGAATGACGAATGAATTTGTTGATATTGCTGTGGATGAAATTGATTTCGTTGTTGAGAGCGATTATTCATTTGTGGATGTTGTGGCGGTTTGTTGTACTCGATAACAATTTTATTTGGTGATAAATCAGCATTTCGTGATAGTTGGTTTTCAACAGCCCGATGAATTTCTTCTCTGGAAGGTTTGTTAGATATCAATGGATCATATCGAGCGATTACATAGATGGGTTCATCTGCGTCACCAACATCATTATTATCAAATCCATTTATGTTAATATCGTTTATATAGTCTTCTTTCGCTGAGGATGCTGGCGCTTGCACACTAGCAAACATTTTTGCTTTCGGTGTTGAACTTGGCCCATTAATAAAGGGTAAAGGAGGGTTTGCATGTGGATTACGCTCTCTTCTGATACGATTGAGAAGAGCTGTATTTGAAGCTGTTGGTGCTGGTAGTTGTTGAGTTTGCGCTCGTGGACGGCTAGTCGAAGGATGTCTTTTGTGTGTTACTGCATCTGGCACTTTAGAAGTAGAGTCTAAATACAAAGAACTGAATTAAATTATTGATGATATTTTCCTTCCATTTTCAATCAAAATTGACATTAGATAATCGAGTATCTGATTCTATAGACATTTTATCTGTATAAGTTTAAAAAATTTGTCTTACTTGAGGTGCGAAGTCTTTCATTTCGAACTGGAAATCGTTCGGATTGTAATAGAACTAAAGTAGAAAATAAAAGATATTGTCTTACACTTTAATTAACTTAAAATAAAGTAAAGTCATATGAGATTTATCATGCCAACGCATCAGAGTACAGTTTGATTTGTTACTAAATGGAGGAAGAGAGAATTGAATTAGGGAAATTTTCATTTCTCTTTAGTGGTTGAATTCGTTTGAAAGAGGTTCAAGTTGATGTTTGGAGAATACAATCACAGTTCAAAGTAACATACTAAAAGATTACGGTCTCATATTGTTTACTTTTTTGAATTATTAAAGTTTTTTAATCAGTTTAAAACATCCTGACTCTGTAAAAGATCAGAGACATTAGTCATTTCTATAAAACAACTGTGGTTATCAGTTTCTATTGATGAATAGTTGTATTCGTCAAGAAATATCTATACTTCTTTTGATTTACTTTTGTTTCTATCCCAATTATTTTGTGGAACAGTAGAAGGTACCGGTGATTTTAAACTCTCAATACGTTTTCGTACAAATTGTTTTGGAGTTAAATGTATTGAGTTGGTAGGTATCGCATGTTCTTTAACACCACTTAATAATGGAGATAATTGTACATCATTTATTCTTCGATTTAATTGTGTTAGACTTGGATTTCGTTGTAGTTGTTGATATTCATTTACTGATATTGTATTTGAGTTTAGAAAATTTGGATTCCGTTGTGGTTTTAAATTAATTAACAATGGCGGCACCATTCTTTCACTAATAACCGATACTGGTGAAATATAATCGTTATTGTATATGTCTGTTATTAGTTGATCATTGTTATCTTTTAATATATTTCTATCATAGATATTAATTTCTTCATGTGATTGTGGTAGTAAATGAGGACTACCATGTCTTAGTTTCACTTGATTTACGCTTTTAATAGTTATATGATTATTATTATTGTTATTTTTATTAAAATAATGGGATTGGTTCATGATATATTTTTTACAAAATATTTATTCTTATTTTGTCACCTCTTTACAATCTCACCATTCAGATAAAACATGAAAAACGTTTAATATGTATATATATATACTAAAGACAAACTTAATATTTATTGTATCCTGTACGGATTATTATTTTCAAATAGGATGATAGGAATAATAACTGGAGACAATTTGTACCAAAAAAAATTATAAAGATTATTTCATATACTCTTTGTATATATCCAACATAGAAAAAAAATATATAGGGTAGTATTTATTCTAAAAAGAATACCTTGAATAAAACCACCACCGACACGATGATTTATATACCTTTGTACCAAATATTATTTTTTTACTATCCCTTTTTTTTACCACTATGACAATGCGCAAGATACAAAAAAATAGGGATGATGACTATTTGAAAAAGATAATCATAATCGAATGATTTTTACGACATCCGATATATATAATTATCTTATGCTCTAAGCGCACACACTCATTCAGGGTTCGTACTATCCACTTTGAAAAAACAGAAACAGGAGAGGATTTTTTCCCTTCATTGAACAGGAAAGTCAATAAATTTTTTCAGGAAATAAGCGAATGCAGAAATGAAAAACGATAGATGAAATTTATCATAATGTGTTAAATAATGTATTGTTAGGCATAAACTAAAAATTCACTTGAACTTATTTAAAAAAATGTTATACAGCATTCAAATATAGTCATCTATGTTTGACATATCTACGATTATACATATCACGAGATAATCGTAGATAGCAACCTTATTATCTCTTTTTGTTTATCCGTCCAGCATTATTATTGTTGCTTTCTTTCATCTTCCTCTTTTTCTATATGTACAACAATTACAGATAGGTGGGACCAGCCTTTTTTAGTCCCGATCCCGTAGAAAATTGTTTGATTCCGATGAAAAATTTGGCCATAAAACACAAATAAGTTTTCTGCCGCTGGCGGAATGTTCAATGCGGCCTTTTGCCATTGTACTGTGTTGTAGAGTTTTCTATGGTCTTTGTAAGAAAAAATTTGATAGAAAAACGAGTTTGAACCTCACATTAGAATTTCATTTTACAACGAAACTTTTACTTTTACGAGACCAGTTTTGTTGTGCTTGATCCCGATCCCAGCCCCGTCGGGACCGTGACCGTCCCGTCCATGTCTAATAACAACATCATACTTCATTTGACTTTTTCTTTACTCTTCATTTCGTCTTCAAAAAAAATGAAAGAGCAATGCTGTTTCATTTTTTTTACTTCTTTTGCTTAGTATTTCGACATGAGTGTGTAGAATTTATACAGTCAGTCTTTATGAGGACATTCCGATCCTTAGTGTAAATGTCATTTCTGTTAGTTCTCTCTTCTCTTGTTTGACTGGATGAAGTAAAACTATTTTGTCTGACTGGCTGATTGATTCATATAAGGGGCAGAAACTTTCTACAAGATTTCACTATAGTAAACAGTAAGACTGCAGAAAAACGTCAAAATACATGAACGCTGTTAATAACATATTAATTTTTAGTTTTGTAATCGTTTCTGACTATTGAAGCCATTTTAGGTCGAAAAGGATAATACCATGTTTAAATGATTGGTTTTTCATTAAAGCAATATATAGGAGGTAAAAATGTCTATTTTCAGTCCCATTTTTACAGTTGCTATTTTTCTTTTAAATCATGCAGACTAGAGACAAAAATATACAGAATCTTTTACATATTTGTTCTTAGACTTAATCAACATATATAATTTGGTGTTGTTCTAGCAAACAAGTGTGGCATTCGTTGCATAACACTTAATATTATTTGACCAATATCTAATGTTCACATGAATTTTTCGATGAATAAAATAAAAATGATAATTAAATCTTTTTTTTGCAAATATTCCTTGAAAATCGATTTGAATGTAACAAACAATTATTTCCATTAAACGCTTTTCTAATATTAAATGCAAACAACGAGAGAAAATAAACCTCTCACCTTCACTTTCATTTGATCCGTTTTCTTCTACTATACACCAGTTAACTGGGCATTTTATTCGACAAAAGATGGATCATTATTTTTGTTGTACGATTTGTTTTGTGGTTGACATAAAACATACACAAAAGAAAGAAGGTCCTGTCTAGAAATAATAGGCTAAGTGTATAGAAATGCGTAACCCGAAGCCCTTGTGATTGATTAATCAGACGTATTGTTTTGTGTGTATATTTCACTTATGAATGACAATTACCTTTGTACCGAGATACTGACTTTCTAAATGGACATCGTAAGACTATTAAGCTCGTCACACCTTCAACCTTGTTTAATATTATTTCCTTAATTGTTACCATTTTAAGACATTAATTCTGAAAAATAAACGTGAGATTGGAATAATCGCAATAGTCTGGGAATAGTTCTTGTTAATAATATTTCTCCTTGATTTAAATAAATACTTTCTCTACTTAAAAAATTGAAACAACGGATTAGTTGCTTATTTAATGCTATTATTTTAAATAATTTCATTCTTATTGAAGGTATTAAGGAAAAGTGGGAGAACATAACATCAATCCGATATGCTTCTTCCAAGTTCTAAAACTTGATTGGTCATG